ACTTTGTTTCAAGTTCCAAACCTGGTGGCTTAAAAAAACATGCTGAATGGGGCTGGCAGGTGGTACGGTGGTTAAGGCACTGGACTCCCACATGGCTGATGGTTCAAGTCCTAGACCTGGAGGCTTGAAAATCACACCCGGCACGTGTGCATGCATGCCCCAGATCCCAGGAACAGGATGGAGGAGAAGGGATTGAGACGTGGCCATCCCCTCTGGGGTGTGAGTTCTCATTTTCTCTTCCTTCCCCCCGCCCTCTCTCTCCCCAGCAGGACAGTCACCCTGTAGCATGCTGTAAACAAATAGTGGCCTGATGTAAGGGCAGGCACACCAGGGAAGCCAGGAGGGAGGGCGTGGGGACAGACCCTTGGATCTGAGGACTAGTACAGAGTGGCCACGGAGGGGAGAGCGGGTGTGGTTCTTCCGTAGCTGCAGTGGGACATTTGGGCAGAGGGAAGAAGGCCGGTTCTCGCCCCACAGGTGGGTAATCAAGTTGTGGCTGGAAGCTAGACCAGAGTGTGCCGGAGGGTGATGAGTTCTGGTTGGCACACGCCAGCACGTGTGGTGAAGGCATGGCTGACAGCAGCCTCTGAAAGTGTGTGACAGTTTCCCACGCTGATCGAGGAGACAGCTTGGGGTTAGCCGGGGAGTACCGGGTGGACGCTCAGGAAATGTCTCCTGGCTGCCAGGCCTGGAGCCAGGGCTTGCTGCGGACTGCGGGGCACATGCCCGGAGCTTAGAGGCTGAGTGAGGTGCGGTTGTGATGGGGGTGTGTTGAGAAACGTGTCACGAGGCCACTTCCTCACTGCGATCACCACACTGTGCTCGAGTCACACGAGTGTGTGCTCCTTACGGGCCACGCGGCGACGCGGCCCACGCTGCCAGCGTTCTGTGTGCCCCTGGCTGTACCTCTGTAGGGGACAGTCCTTTCCAGCTTCAGAGGTCTCAAAGCTGCAGGTGGACTGTCATTTTCAGAACGCTCTCCAGGTCCAGGGTCCAAGCATAGACTTCTGCTCCTCGCCTTGCACTGTCTCCGAAGGCCCCCATTGCCCTCCAGTCCCCCCGCGGGTGCCCCGGGACTGGCTATAACGGCTGCGGGGAAGCCCCAGCCCGGGAGACCCCCCAGCCGCAGGCCGTCCATGCCGCTCTCCCAGCTCGCTCTCCCAGCTCGGCCTGCAGGGGTGGCTCCCAGCCCTTGACCTACATTTGTCCCCGGAAGCGCTCTGGCCAGCTGCCTGCTGCTGACGGGCTCGCTGCCTAGCGCCAGCCGACCCGCCTGTCTGTGTCCCTCGTGTCTGTCCCCACCTTCTCCGGGCCTCCCCCAGGCCACGTGTGTTCAGGGAAGTGTGGGATTGTGGGATGGTGTCTGTCAGGCACGTGAGCTGCTTTCCCAGGGCTGGAAAGTGGGTGGTGGCCCTGCCGCCCTCCCCCAGGGCCCCGTGTGGCCTTCCGGCCTGTCGCGCCCACGTCCCTCCCAGGTCTGTCTTCCTCAGGGCTTTTGCTCATCCTGGTCTCTGCTCAGAGCCGCCCTCCCCCTGTGCCTGGCATCCAGGCCCCTTCCTCGCGGCCCAGAGCAAGTGGCCGACCAACTGACCTACCTCCTCCCCCTTTCCCTCCCTACCACGATAAAGACAAACAGGCCACCCAACGGGGCCACCCTGGGATGGTCCCCAAGCCTTCCAGCCAGCCGGGGTCACCCGTGTGTATACCTGGCATGTTAAGCCCTCCCAGGATCTGAATCCTGACTCTCAGCTCTCTGTGAAGTCCTCTTCCGACTCCTAACACCTCAGTGACCTGCTTGCCCGATCGTCTCCTGCTGGGAGCCGGCTTCTGCAGGAAGGGTGCTTTTGGTCCAGTCCCCCCAGTGCCGTCCGCGACTCCTGGAGCCGTGTCTGGGGGAGGGACTAGCTCTCCCCGACGTCTACGGTGTCTCAGGTACCACGCAGGCATTGTGACACTGCTGTGTGATTTAACGCACACGGTGACATTGTTGTCTCATTTTATAGATAAAAACTTTGTGGAAAAGGCGGAATCCCTGCCCACTGCCCACAGTAGACCGGCAGTGGAGTCAGTTCCGATGTCTGACCCTGGCCTTGTCTGTCCCCGTGACCCCGCCCCGCGCCATCTGCGTCCCCTCCTCCCTGGGAAAACAGGGTCCTCTGATGCTCAAGAAGGTGTGTCAGACCTCCCTGGGGCCTGAAAGCAACCGGATGTTGGAACGCCACTAGCCGCAGAGTCGGCAGACCGTGATGAGTGCCAACCCAGGCACCGCGAGATGGCCAGGAGCCCCTTGCAGCGCCCCGAGACAGGTGTCTGTGAACTAAGCGTGCTGGGAAGGACCCCGCTGCAGGAGTGCTGCCGCCCTCAGGTGCTTCCTCTGTGCAGGAGGGTCTGCTTGGCGGATGGAGCGAGGTGGGGCCTGCCCCTCCTGGCCTCGCGGGCCCTGCGAGGGAGGAGCGTGCCCGTGACCCCTGCATTTGCTCTTCTGAGCTCTCTCCAGCCTGCTCATCCCGTGCCGAACTCTCCCTGCCATCCTTTTTTATTTCCGTTGATGCCATGGGCCTTCATCCCCCCGGTCTGTCTTTCTGTCCTGACACGTCATCTCTCTGGGGACAGGGCGGATGGAGGTAGGAACCTGCTACCCGTCTAACCAAAGGGGATGCACGCAGGCTGTGACCAACAGTAAAAGCCCAGAGGAGGTGTCCTTGTCAGGCAGGCCAGGTACTGGGGTGCCAAGGTCAACAAGCCTCGCTCCTGCCACCAAGGGGCTAGTGGCTTTGTTGGTGACAGAAAATAAAACACAATCGCTCACAATTGCGTCTGCGTGCAGAGGCCACGTGCTTTCAAGCACAGATGAGTGGCAGGCTGGGAGGTGGGGGCCGCCTGGGGAGGGGTGTGGCTGCCCGGGGAGGTATGCCGGTCTTGACCCAGCTGAGAGGGCTGGGCTCCTGGTGTTCCAGAAACCCCGCTGTAGCTCACGTCTGCCAGGTTCTCTGCCTGACCTGGAGGCGCGGCGTGAGCACTGACAGGGAAGACTTGTTCAGCCCGCCGCCGTGGTCCGATACATAAAACACACGAGTGTGAGAAGTCCGAGGTGAAGACCGCGTGGCCGGGCGCATCGTGAGATGGAGTTGTCCAGCGGCCTCGGCCCTCCTGGTTCCTGGGAGGGGTCCAGGCACTGGGGTGGGGGTGGGGCAAACATTCCCAACCCCGTGTCCTCTGCTCCTGATGGCCTGGAGCTGCAGGAGGGCACAGGGGCTCCACGAGGGCATGCATACCAAAAGCTCGTGTAGGTGTCTTGAACGTGTATGTACCTAACAGCTCAGTGTGTCACTGAGGTGTCGTTTCACTAAGGACTTTGTCCGTTTTCGTTTTTTTTTTTTTTTTAATGACTTGGGAATTTGGGAATTAGAATTTAGAAACTGTAGGGGATTAGAGAGTTAGGCAGGGAGAGGAAGTGATTTTTTTCCCCCAGGAGAAGGGAAGTTACAGGGCATTTTCATAATCCCCAAGGGCAAGGAGGGTCTCTGCGGAGCAGGAGCAGCAGCCAGGTGTTCGGAGCCCATGGGGAGAAGGCTGCTGAGGGCTGGTTTCCCGAGGGCCAGTGGTGTGAGTGGAAGAGTTGAGGAGAATCTCCCAGAAGCACTTAGCACTGAAGAGCAATGTCATCTTTCGGTTCTCTGCGGCCTTGCCTGTTAGGTGAGGACAAGGAGCTTGACGTTCCCAAGGGCCTCCATCTGTGGATCCCACCAGAAGTGGGTTTAAAACACACCCTTGCTGCGCCGTGCCAACACCTGAGCACACTCTGTTTTTCTTGATGGGTTTAAAGACACCGATGTTCTGTCAAAGTCAGCAGTGGGCACTGCTGCTCCTCGTCAGGCTGAGGCCACGTGGGTGTCCCAGGTTCAATTCCCAGCCCACCTAAAAGCCGGGTATGGTAGTGTCTACTCAGTCTCAGCTGCTCAAGGCTGAAGCAGGAGGACAGTGACAAAGTGGGACCCAGAGTGAGTGCACGTGTGCACGCGTTTGTGTACAAATGCCATGACTTCTGTGCTGTAGGTGGCTATCCTCTGGGTCTTGCAGCCCTAGGTGCCAGCTCTAGGGTAGGGAGATGGAAGTCTCTCCTGTTTCCTTTATTTTCTTTTATTCCCCGCCTCTCACATTTCTCACCCAGACATTTCATTGTCTGCTCACCCCCCTTTCCCCGGGCTGCTCACTTTTCTCCTTTGCATTCAGGAGCCCAAGCAGCTCGGTGTCCAGGAGTCCTAAGTCGGAGTCAGTAGTCCGGCCCAGTCCGCTGCCTGCAGCCTTCTAACCCCAGACCTCGTTGCTGATGCATAAAATAAGAGGTTGTACTAGATGGTTGGCTCACAGAAAATGCATTTTAGGGATAGATAGTGTTTTTTTTGCTTTATTTTTTGTTTTATTTTGTCTTGCTTTGTTTTTTTTTTGTTTTTTTTTTTGCTTTATTTTTTGTTTTATTTTTTGTTTTGTTTTGTCTTGCTTTGTTTTTTTGTTTTTGCATTTTAAAGCAGGGGAGGAGACCCACATTCTCTATCTCCCAGACTTCCCCAAACACATAACCCTCAGTTCTCTCTGTGAAATCCCTTGGAGGTCTTTTTTTGTTACAAATTTCAGGCTTGAAGAGGACCAGCAGGTGATGTGGTGGTTAAAGTGCTGGACTCCCAGTTGGCCAACTCTAGTTCAAGTCCCAGACCTGGCAGCCAGAGAAACATGGCAGGAGTGTGTGTGTGTGCGCCTACAGTCCCAAGAGAAGAATGGAGAAGGGATTGTGGTGTGACCATCCCCTTGGGGGGTGATTTCTCTCTTTCCTCCTCTTTGTTTCTCTCCTCTCTGGTGAGGGCACACGCTCTATGGCTAAAACCTAAAACCTAAAATAAAGAAAGAAACTTGTTAAGTCATATAAGCAGAATAAACTCTCATACATCTTAAGAATTGTTTTATCTTTCTTCTTTTAAAATATGTTTTTTATCTTGTCACAGCCCAATGATGATCATTACCCAGAAGATCACTAGTTTGGCTTACGAAATTCACGATGGTAAGAATTTTGAAATTAATTTTCATCACTGAGAAAAAAAATCTTATTCAAATAACCTTTGCCTGAGGTAGTTTTTATCGTAACTTTCTGCTCTTGAGTAACGAAAGAGATGGAGGTAAGACAGGGAAAGCTATTTAAGTCTACTTAGGGTTATTAAAGGGTACTTGTTTTCCTTCAGTGTTTTGTGTTAATTTTTAGTTCAACTCACTGACAAAACTATAATAGTGTGATTCAGTCAAATGACACACGTTAGTGGCAGTTTAAAGTATAAAAGAAATGTTATTTGGTCTAAATAAAATTTTATTAATTTCCGCCTCTATGTTAAAATGATGTCCCCCCACCCCCTCTCCTTTGCACACACACACACACACACACACACACACACACACACTCTCACATGTAAGTTTAGTAAGCATCTGTGTGTTGTACGTCTTCAGTGGGTGGATGCCTGGCTGTAGGAGATGCCAGCCGTTGGGGCTTTGAGTCCTAAGCGGGAGGCTCTGGTTTCTTGACAGGTGGGTGGAGCATCTCTGTTAGAACAGCCCTTGTTCTTCATCTGGGACCTGGGAGGCTCCAAGGTGGGCCTTAGCCCGCTGTGGTCCACGACCCTGTGCCCACTCTCCAGCCAGGCTTTCCCCTCATTGCCAAAGGACCTGCCCTGGCAACACTGTGAAGAAAGCGGGTATTTTTCCTCTTCTCCCCTTTTGCTACTGAAAAGCTAGATTCACTACTTAGATATTGTAGGCGAGTGGAGGGTAACTGTTTTTGTAAAGTTTGTTTATTTCTTTTATGAGAAAAAGGGACAGACGGGCCCCCCGCCGGCTCTGTGTGTCCGGGTGCCCGGGCACTGAACTCGCAGCCTCCCCACGTGGCCCCAGCTTGCACAGGAGTCCTGCCGCCTGCACCACAGTGGCAGGCCAGGCTGCCCACTTTCAGAAGCTCCCGATACCGGTTTAGCCAAGTGCATGTTCGGCAGCAGCTCTGTTTCTGCCCTTCAGAAAGTCGGGGAGCCTCGCAGGGGGAAAGTGCCCTGCAGGAGGGAACGGGATGGTGTGACGAGCGTGGCTGGAGGGGACACAGGCCCAGATCCCTGCTCTGTGTCCTGCTGCCCCCACGTTCTTATTTATGAACATAGAACAGGATCCACGTGGGAGGGTGTTCTCTGTGGACCATGATGTGCAGGCAATGTCTCATAGTTCTCATATCCGGAAAATGAAGTGAATGGAACCTCCAGACCCGGGTGGTAGGCGGACTGTGGTCCTAAGACCCACACTGCCAAACGTGTGAGTAAAGGGCATAGTACCCGCGTGCTGACCCCACGACACTGTGTGATGACAGAGGCTTTGGGACTCGGGGAGGATATAGGAAAGACGTGGATCAGGGATGTAATTTTGTCCATCGGTCTAGAAGCATCTGATGACAGAATACATTCAACTCACAATTACAAGCACAACAAAACCCTATTTCGTGACCTTTTTTTTTTTTCTTTTTTTAATATTTTGCTGTAGGGTGCATGTGCACACCAGAGAGAGAGAGGGGGAAGTGAGAAATCCCCCCCCCCCCCAGGAGGATGGCCATGCTGCAGTCTCTTCTCCTCCAGCCTTCTTGTGGGATTTTGGCATGCACACATGTGTGGCTGGCATAATTTTCAAGCCACTGGGTCCGGGACTTGAACCATGCTGCAGACCATGTGGAATCCAGTGCCTTAACCTCTTTAATGGATTTGGTGGTAATTGTCCCTTTGCAGCTGTCGGGTTTGGGTTAGCTCGATAGCATGTGAAGGGACCCGCCCTTGCCCTTTGCAGTCTGACTGCGGGCTACGGGCACTGCGAGGCCTGCTGCACACCTCCCGCCTCTTTTGCCTTGGGGCTGGGTTGAGCCGTGTCTGGCCTGTGTTTCCTCAGCCCGACTTCCACAGGAGGGCTTTACTGTGTGGGAACCACCCCCAGTGACTCACAGGACTAGAGTACGGTTGTGTTGTGGCTAAGATCGATCACAGCGAGGAGAGTCCGAGGTGCCGGTAGAGGGCGGAGGGAGCTGGAGTGGCGTCCAGGAGAGACCGGCATATGTCTCCAGGAGTCTGTGTCCACAGAGTCACAGCACCTGACGCTCTGCAGCGAGTGGTGACACCACTGGTGAAGTGCTGTTGACCCGGGACGCTGCAGAGACTCGGCACCCAAGGCTGTCACTGCAGAGTGGTCACGTGGGCCCCGCTGCCTGGGCGTGCCCAGATTGCAGGCTCCCAAAGGAAACCAAGTGTCGAGTAAACCACGTTGTCAGCACTGTCCGGGCACTGGGAGCGGGCATGTCAGAGCAGTGACCGCCCACCAGCCATGCTCCAGACGCCGGCTCACGAGGAACCTTCCTGAGGGTGGCTGCCGTGGGCCTACGTCGGCTTTGTTCTCTGCACAGTCTCTTCGGCCTTGGCCATTCCTGGACAAAACCAAGTCAATTACATATCTATACTTGACGGGTAATTACATATCTATAATTGATGGAAAATTACATATCTATAACTGATGGAAAATTACATATCTATAACTGATAGATAATTACATATCTATAACTGATGGAAAATTACATATCTATAACTGATGGAAAATTACATATCTATAACTGATGGAAAATTACATATCTATAACTGATAGATAATTACATCTTTATACTTGATAGATAATAACATATCTATAACTGATAATTACATATCTATACTTGATGGATGATCACTTATCTATAACTGATGGATAATTACATATCTATAACTGATAGAAAATTAAATATCTATAACTGATAGATAACTACATATTTATACTTGATAGATAATTACATATTTATAACTGATAATTACATATTTATACTTGATAGATAATTACATATCTATAACTGATGGATGATCACATATCTATAACTGATAGATAATTACATATTTATATTTGATAGATAATTACATATCTATAACTGATAATTACATATCTATACTTGATGGATGATCACTTATCTATAACTGATGGATGATCACATATCTGTAACTGATGGAAAATTACATATCTATAACTAATGGATGACCACATATCTATAACTGATGGATGATTACATATCTATAACTGATAATTACATATCTATGCTTGATAGATAATTACATATCTATAACTGATGGATGATCACATATCTGTAACTGATGGATGATCACATATCTGTAACTGATGGAAAATTACATATCTATAACTGATGGATGATCACTTATCTATAACTGATGGATGATCACATATCTTTAAGTGATGGATGATCACATATCTTTAACTGATGGATGATCACCTATCTATAACTGATAGATAACTTCATATCTATAACTGAAAGGTAATTACATATCTGTAACTGATGGATAATTACATATCTATAACTGATAGGTATGTAGCCGTTGCTCGGCTGCCAGTGCCAGAGCAGCCTTCACACCTGAAGCTTCAGGAAGCCAGTGGTCTTCTGTCTCGGGAAGTTTCTAGGCCTGTCTCTTGAGACAGCTCGTTACCCTGATGTCAGAGAGCCTGCCTGCTGTCTGGCTTTGCACGGTGGACGTGAGGTTACTGACAGCTGAGGGTGGATGACCAGAACCGCCCGGGAGTGCTCAGTCACGAAGGCGGGCTACAGTCTGGCTTGCGAGGCGGCGTCGCTGGTTTTTTGCTAGCAGTGTCATTGATGCCACTCACAGCAGGAAAGCCTCAGGCTGGCTAGACCTTGTGCTTGACCCAGGAATTTGAAAGGTTTCTTTTCCCATCATACGTGCTGGACTGCATACTTTGTACTTACTTAGACTTCTAGCTTGAAAGAAAATGGCATCTTTCTTTCATCGATTTTTGGGAACTCAGAAGGAAGGCTGGACTTGTGCAGGTAGACTTTTTTTTTTTTTTAGATTTTTTGCCACAGGGTGTGTGTGCTCATGGGGAGACCAGGGGTAGAGGGAAATCACGCCCCAGGGGGATGCCACGCCCTGATCCCTTCTCTGTTCTCCTCTCAGGACTTTGGGCACACACACACATGCGCCGGCCGGCTTGGGATGCCATCAGGTCCTGGACTTAAACCAAGGAGTCAGCCATGTGGGATCCAGCGCCTTAACCACCATGCCACCTGCTGGCCGGTGCCTTTCTTAATGATTATTCATGGGAACACTGATATGTTAATTGGCTACTTGTATTACTTTTGTGATTTTTCTTTTCATGTTTTTCGCTTTTGTCTGTTTCACTGTTTTTTAATTGCTTTGGTTTTGGTTCAAGTATCTTAACACTATTGTATTTGCTGCAAATACCTTTTCTTTTTTTTTTTTTTTTTTGGAGAGATTTTCACTGTAGGGCGCGTGCGCTCGCCAGACAGACAGAGAGAGACATAGAGACAGAAAGCGAGAAATCACCCCCCAGGGGGGATGGTCACGCCGCAATCCCTTCTCCTCCATTCTCCTCTCGGGATCTTGGGCACGCACGCACACGCGCCCGGCGTGAGTTTTAAGCCACTGGGTCCAGGACACGAACTGCAGTCGACTACGTGGGAGTCCAGCGACATAGCCATTACGCTAACTGCTGGTTCCCTTTGCTGCAAATACCTTTTGAATGTGTTCAATTCATTAGACCCACTTTCATCTTTTTTTAAATAATTACTTTTTATTTTACTTTGACCTGAGAGAGACAGAGTAAGAAAGAGAGAGAGAGGGAAAATGAGAAAGCAAGCGACCAGGTTCAGGACTCGAACCACGGTTGGTTATAGGGGAGTCCAGTGCCCTTAACTCCCACGCCACCTGCCAGCCCTGTGTCTCTTTTATCTTAAATTGGATTTAGAGTATATTCCTAAAAACAAAACAAAACAAAAACATATGGGTCTTATAAGTTACTGTGTAATTATTGGGTCATCAGGAGAGTCATGACACATTTTTTGCATTAGAAAAACGCATCCTGACTTTTCTGACGACTTTGTGTAAGTTTTGTTCTCCAGTTCGATGGGCGGTAAGAAAATGATGAAGTGGTGTATTTGAGTTCTGTGTGGCTCACTGGAGTCAGAGGAGCAAGAAAGCATCCTGTGCCCTAGGTTCCCTTCCAGCCCTTGGTGCTGACGCATAGTCATCGAGCTCACCTAGTAAGAAGAAAATCCTAATGGCTGCTTCTGAAAAGTCATGTTTACTGTATTTTAAAAAGAATTATTTATGTAATTTTATTTATTATTTTAAATATTTGCTATAGGGCACATGTGCTCACCAGAAAGAGAAGGGGACGGGGAAGAGTGAGAAAGTAAGCCACCAGGTCCTGGACTTGACTCCCACACCTTAGCCGCTGTGCCACCTGTTGGTCCCATGCGTTTACTATTAGTGCATGGTGTAAAAAGTGCTCACATTCGGGTTTGGTTTTGTTTTAGATTTTTGCCACGGGACACATGCACTCAGACAGAGAGGGAAAGTAAGAAATCACCCCCCAAATGGATGGTCATGCCACAATCCCTTTTCCTCCACTCTCTTGGCATTTTGGGCATGCACACACATGTGCTCAGTGTTTCTCAAGCTGCCAGTTCTGGGACTTGAGTTGGCCATGTGGGATCCAGTGCCTTAACCACCACGCCACCTGCTGACCTGGGACTTTTTTTTTAACTAAATAATTTATTGTAGAGAGGAGTGAGATTAGTGTGGGAGACTTTTGTTCCCTGATAGAGTGTTATTTATCTTACACAGACCTGGGCAGATTGGATCACTTGATGGCTCTTTGACACAGTGAGTCCATGTTGCCATGGGGAAAGGAGCAAGCATTGTATCGCACTGAGACATAGCATGCATCTCAAGTGAGGAAACTGGTGGACGCGTGAATGGGGAAAGTGCCACTCGGGAAACATCAGAGTTGATAAAAGCACCTGTTTTTGTTTCTCAGGAATGTTCCGGAAGGATGAAGAACTGACTCCATCACAGAGGGGCTTAGCTGTAAGGTACGTGCCTCTGTGGTGTGTCCTGGCAGCGTCCGCGGTGTCGCTGTCTGGGGTGCAGTTTTCACATGGCTGAGGCTTCTGGAAGTACTCACTGCTTGGAAGCAAATCCTCCTCCCTCTGCACACCTCCCTGGCACCAGGGCTTGTCGGGCAGGGCCAGCATCCCATCGAAGGCTCCCGTGGCACCTTGACTGCATTACTGAACAGGGCACTCTGTGCACCACCAGGCTTCTGCCATATTGTTTTTTTCCTCTGTGAGGCTCTGAGTTCCTTGAAGACAGGAGGAGAGGGGAGGCCTCCCGTCTGCCATGTAGCAATGACTGGTAACAGCAGCTGCCGTCCGTAGACCTGAACTTGGCGGGTCCCAGGCTGGTGGGTAGTAAGTGAAAGTAGCACGTGGATGCCAGGTTCGGAAGTCGTGAAGAGCCGGGCAGGTGGTTCTTGTCGCTGTTCGAGGACCCATCCTGGACCAGGCTTCTTCACGTAGGTCCCAGTGAGCAGCCTCAGGGAGGCAGGCGGGCTTCTTGGCAGGGCCTGTCTGGTATAATTGCAGATCACATACTCAATTTACTTCAAGAAAAGCTCCCTGTGGGACACCTTGTTTCAAAATCTCGAGCTAATCAGTGCCTGAGGCTGGGATAATGAGCTCACATTGCTGTTCCTGGTCAGTAGATAGACCTATGCTAAATGCTCGCCTTTAACCCTGGGGAAATGTTCTTGAGGATCCTCTTACATTTTCCCCATTTAAAAAAAGCCCTATCTTGATATTCTCTATAGTCAATATTTATATTGGCTCGTTGGGAAAGTCATGACTCATCTTTGCAGAGGAAAATACACCGTCACTTTCCCAACCACCTAGTACATCGGTCAGTATTTACTTGAACAAATTGTCCTGATGGGAGGGTACCATGCTCTGCGTCCTGTGCAGTGTGAACTCCTGGTCCAGTGTGGTCAGCACATGCACAAGGCAGCAGCTCCGTCTCCTCGCAGAGCCGCCTGGCAGGCCCAGACCATGCCCAGCGTCACTCTCTGGCCACCTGAGCGGTGGCAGGGAGCCAAGGGGCTGAGCAGTCTTGCTGACCGTTACTCTAAAGTGGCAGACCTGAGGGTCGCCGAGAGTCCCACCATGTTCCCTTCATCCACCCGCCTCCTCGTTCTGACATGATGTGGCCAGCCCTGCCACCTCCCCGCACGCCTCTCCTGTGCACTCCCGCTGCAGGGCAGCATCTGGGCGCTGGGAAAAGAGGAAGCACCAGAACCCCCCACCAGCGCCCTCTGTGCCAGCTCCTCCCCACCCCAGCGCCCTCTGTGCCCGCCCCTCCCCTTTCTGTCCTGGTACCGAGGACGAGGCCCACAGTCGAAGGCCAGCTGTTCGCACATGTGGGCATAGTTCCTCCTGCTCGGCTCGGCTGCTTCAGCCACCCAGCCCCCTGCGCCAGTCCCTGACGCTCGCTCTCCATTCCCGTGTGCCCGTCCCCGCCAGCCCACGTGGAGAAAGCTGGTACCCCACTCCTTTATGCTTTATGGTGACACTCCCTGAAGGCTCTTGGCGCCTCCTCTCCCGCTGTGGTGGCCTCAGCCCTGCAGTCAGATTTCTGTCCCCTTCTGGGTCTGAAATCATCCTTTCAAGGCTGCCCTTGGGGACACGGTCTCGGCGCATGTCCCCGGCAGCCTCAGCGGGTTGCCCAGACTCTGCACAGTGCCAGTCCATGTGGCCACCGTCCCTGGGCTTCCTCCTCTCACCTCCCGGGACAGGGCGTTCTTTGCTTCCTCCCCTGGCTGGCGCTGGCTCCAGCTCCGGCTCCGGCTCCCTGCGAATGCTCAGCCTCTGCCTGACCACCTGGTGACTGACCCCCGGCTCAGCCCTGACTTCTCTGTTTCTCCAGGCCCTTGTGAGGTCTGCTGCTTCAGACACCATCTCTGTGTGGAAGTCTGCTCAATTCGCATTCCCATCCCAGCCTCCCTGAGCTGCAGCCTCCTGTGTCCAGCCACGTGAGAGTCTGCCCGGCAGTGACA